AGAAAGCAGAGGAGGGGGAAGCGAGGAGGAGGAGGATGAGGATCCCCGCACGCTGCGCAAGTGAGCAGTCGTCTCAGGGCGAACGCGCGGCGCGCGCCCGCGGCGGCCCGTAAGGCGGGACAGGCCTACGCGGGCGGGCCGTGCGACGCTCTCAGGCGGCCTCGTTCAACGAGGGCACCCGGGCGGCCAAGGAGGCCGCAGCAGCGCCGCAGGTCAGCCTTCGAAGAAGGAGGGAGGAGAGAGGGAGGGGGCCGAGAAGCTGCAGACGACTGCAATCAGCGGGCGCGATGGGGATAAGAAGAAGCATCCCCGCACGCTGCGCAAGTGAGCAGTCGTCTCAGGGCGAACGCGCGGCGCGCGCCCGCGGCGGCCCGTAAGGCGGGACAGGCCTACGCGGGCGGGCCGTGCGACGCTCTCAGGCGGCCTCGTTCAACGAGGGCACCCGGGCGGCCAAGGGAGGCCGCAGCAGCCACACCCAGGCTCAAAGCCCTTGCGAAGTGACAAGGTTTCGGCGGGCGGCCGCGAGCTGAATGGGCCACACAGCCGGGCCAACATTCAGAAAGGATGCGACGAGGAAGTCGCTGGAGTCGGCGAGGTAAGAAACACGGTCCCGAGCAGCTTCAGCCAATGATGGGAGGACTGCAGAGGCGGCAACATCGTAAAGATATCGCTCCGTACTGGAAGCTTGCCGCCAGCGATCACGCCAGAAGACGCGAGTAATGCCGTCCGAAATATCGGTTCTGAAGCGCAGCGCAGGGGACAGATCGAACCCCGATGGCGCTCTGGCGAGCGGGACGCCCAGCGCCGAAAGAAGATCGAGCCACCGAGTACGGAAGCCGCTTTGACCGAAGGTCAACAGGGGATCGGTGGGAGTCAAATCTCTGAAGACCAGCTCCATCATCCTGACCACTGCTCGGTCGGAGCACCGAGCGTGTTGACGCTCTCCGCCCGACCCCTGGGCCTCCGGAACAGAGATGCTCAGCAAAGCGTCGCCCGCGGACTCACGGCGGTCAATGGGCAGAGTGAGGTCGCTCCGGCGGGCGGTTGCCAACTCACCAGGCCTCACGGACATAGTGAACACGGCAAGCAGCAGGGTGGCCATATCAGGCCAGTCCCATGCGAGGCACAACGCTACCATGGCGCGCAGCAAAGCACGTGGCAGCGGTGGGATGGGACAGGGAGGCTTGGAAGGGATCCACCGTTTTGCCACATCCCACGCCTCGGTGAGGACGCCCCTCCACTGGGGCTGAAGAGCCTGCGCTCCCCGGATCGCATTCACAAGGACGAGGCGGGGGAGGCCAGCATCGTACAACCACACGCCGAAGGTCGCGAGCGCTCTCCCGAGCAAGATGCCGCTGCGGGCCCAAGTGGCAAGTGCCACACCTGTGTGCTCGACGCACCACACGTCAAACGCTTTAAGCGAACGAGTGCGCTGGTCGTCGCAAGAGGGGACGAGCCGACAGTGGCTGTCCACCTGCACCCCGAGGGCCTCGGAAGCCCCCTCGGGAAACGCAGGCGACAGAGAGGCAGGCCACTCCTGGCGCCCTGCCACGAAGGCTGGCGCGGGCGGCTCGCGACCAGACGAATTGGCCGGAGTGGTAGCTGCCGCTCCGGCGAGCGCCCGAACACGCCTGCGTTTGCGCTGTTCGGCGCGGGGGGCCTCGCTGACATCGCCGGTGCTCGGCGCGACTCCCGATTGGCGGTGCGTAGCGCTACCGGCCGTGGTGGGAGCACTCAGGGGCGCGCCGGCATCGGCTGCGGCGGCGCCTCCACCCGAAAAGCCCGAAGCGGAAACGCAACCTCTGATGCATTCGGCAGTGCGAGAGCGGGCGATGCGCAACGCCGCCTTCTGGCGCTCGAGCTCGGCCAAGGACGACTGCAAAAGCTCAACCGGACTTGGGCCCCCAGCCTCCGCGCCTCGACCGAATTCAACTTCGGTAAGGGCGGCGTCGCAAGCATCGACCGAGGCGCGGAACCGTGCCAAAGCGCGCCGTTCGTCCCGCACGCGCTTCGCAACCGTGGTCGTCGGGCCCACGACCCGGCCGGTGCGCAGTGCTAACTTGGTGAGCGGATCGGCACGGGAGTCGGACCAAGTGAAGGCGTCAGCGCGCTGGACGGCACGGGCGTCGGCGAGCCCCTCGACACGCGAGTCGGCGATCTGGTCGACGCGGGAGTCAGCGAGCTGGTCGGTGCGAAAGTCGGTAAGCTGGGAGGGATGACAGTCAGTGAGCTGGTCGCCGCGGGACTCGGTGAGCTGGGCGTCGCAGGAGTCGGCACGCTTGTCGGCGCAGCAGGAGTCGGGAAGGCTGGGAACCGGCGACACCTCGCTGCGTGCTGCGCTGTGGCCCCACGGAAGCACGGCTCTGGGTTGTGCCGCCCCGGCGGTGGCCGCAATGGCAGCCCGCTCGCGGGTAGCACGCAGCATAACCGCTGCGCCCTGCGAGCGCCCGGCCAGCAGGGCAGGCGCAGAGCTGGCGCGCGGCGCGACGCTATGGGCGTCGGTGCGGCACCCTGGCAAGGGGGGCAAGGTGCTGGCTCGAAAGGACGGGAGCGCCGCGACCGCGGTATGGGCGGCCCTCAGGTCGGCCTCCAGGCGAGCTTGCGTGCGTCGCATGGCGGCAGTGGGCATCGCGGGGGTCTGCACTGCGCAACGTGGCGCAGCCCGCGACCCTGAATCGCACCAGCTAGCGACCGCGCTCGGCTCTGCGTTTGGATACGCACCATGGGCGTTCCGACGCTCCCCCGGCACGCCGCGGGGGCGAGCACCAAGGGAGGCGTCGAGAGCCGAATCCCGAGTGGTGACCCCGCGCGAGCGGTTCGTGTCGTCACGCCTTCCCGCCGCCAAGAGCCCTCCGCCTGAAGCACGGCGAGTAGCGCCGCCAGAGGCCGGGGCATCGGAGCCAACCACATCGCGCCCAGGCCCGAGGATGAAGGCTTTGGCGTCACAGAGAGCACGCCATTTCCTGCTGGCCTCGATCGACGTATCGCGGCCGGGATGGCAGGCCCAACCCAGCCGCCGAAACTGAGCGTTCACGCGATCAGTGGTCGCACCGCGCTCCAGGTGGAGCAGGCCGTGCGCAGCAGCAAGTTTGGCGGCACGAGCTTGGCGGTGGCGAGTCTGAATCGTGACGGGTGGACGACCCAGAAGACCCCCCAACGAAGCGGGAGCCGAGCCGGTTGCCTTCGACAGAAGCGAGACGGGGTGAGTGTCCCCCGCAGGCGTACCAGGTCGAGCAGCGGCGATTGCGTCGCACTTGGCGCGTGACCTCCGCTCGGGCGCACCCTCTCCTGGTCCCCCGCCGGCGGCGCGAACTCCTCCCTGCGGGGCCGTAACAGCATCGCTGGAGAGGCGCATGCCTACCGGTGGGGACGGCGAAGGGCTTGGTACCCGAGGGGCGGCCGGCAGGCTGTCACGGGCGCGAGTGCATCGCGACGCGGAGAAGCTCACCGCTGCCGC